AGTCATGGCTAGAGGCTAACTTACCACAATGATCCCTCACAGTCATGACTAGAGGATAACTTACCACAATGATCCCTCACAGTCATGGCTAGAGGATAACTTATCTCAATGATCCCTCACAGACATGCCCATGTTAAGCCCGAGTCACAAGCCTCCAACCAGACCACCAAGGAGCCGACTTCCATACAAAAATGTAAGATTTTTTTATTCAAGCAGCCCAGGTAGGGACTTTGTCTGACACTCTGTTACAGGGAGTGAAGGGGGAAGCCCTGAGGACTTATTACAAGGGGTTTATATATGAAAAGTTAACATGCAATGGGTTACATACCATTGGACGAGGGGGTGGGGGTGAGGTAGTTCTTTGAATTACTGGCTGAACTATGAGGGTGAAGTTACTAATGGCTAACAGGATGTAGGGTATCTACAGAGACATAAACTGTTTACTCCCTATATCTTGTTTTCGTTGAACCCAGGATATATACATTCAGATTTATTGTTCCGGTCCTATTTTCACATGAGTTCAATCTCTGGTCAGTTGAGTCCATTATTCCCCATATCCTGTTTGCTGAGTCCAGATTATATAGATTTATTGTCACATGAGTTCAATATCTAGTCAGCTCTGGGTTCATTTATGGATGAGCAGATACCTTTAGATGGGTGGGGGGGAGTTCTTAAGAGGGCTACTGATTTTCCCCTTCATCCACAGCATTATTTCTTTGGTGATTCTAGATCTTGTTAAGTTGACAATCAGTATTAACTATTTACACCGTATCTTAGTTAGGGTTTCTATTGCTGTGAAGAGACACCATGACCACAGCAACTCTTATAAAGGAAAACATTTAATGAGGTGTCTTACATGTTCAGTGCTTTAGTCCATTATTGTCATGGTGGGAAGCATGGCAGCATGCAGGCAGAAATGGTGCTGGAGAAGGAGCTGAGAATTCTATATCTGAATCTGCAGGCAACAGAAGGAGAAACTGTGAGCTACACTAGGCATGGCTTGAGCATAGGAGACCTCAAAGACACACTTCTTCCAACAAGGCCACACTTTCTAATAGTGCCACTCCTTATAAGGGCCATTTTCTTTCAAAACACCATACCAAGATACTAGAAACTTGAAAGTGTATGACTGAAATAACTGAAATTATATAATGTTTGAATCATCCCTTTGGGGAATGTAATTTTATGTTATACTCCAAAGGATAAAAATAACACCTGTGAGCATTGTCAGACCAAAATAAAGCCACTTATGTCAGACTCTGGGTAGATGGAACCTGCAGTCATGAAGGGAGGCTGTAAGCATGTGTTGAGAAATGCCTCCTGTCCCTGCCACCTTCCTGATGGATCCGCACTTCACAGCCACCCTCTTCTAGATCCATTTTGTGTGAGTGAGTGAGCCACCCCTCTCCACAATGAAGACTGACTTCCATTCTCTGTGTGGATCTTACATGGGTTTTTTGTTTTGTTTTGTTTTGTTTTGTTTTGTTTTGTTTTTTTGGTTTTGTTTGATTTGATTTGATTTGGTCTCATTCGGATTGCTTTGGTTTTTTGGGAGGGGATGTTTGTTTGTTTGTTTGTTTGTTTGTTTGAGATGAGGTTTCTTTGTATGGTCCTGGCTATCCTGGAACCTGCTCAGTAGACGTTGCTGGACTGAAATTCAGAAATCTGCTCCCTGTTTCTCGAGTACTGGAATTAAAGTCATGCATCACAGCCTGGCTGTATCTTATGTTTTAAATGTCAGAAATCAAGCTAATGAATTATGCTCACTGTAGTATGAGCCTGGGTTGCTCCCTTTCCTCACCATCAATGCTGAACTCTCTTTGAATCCCATGAAGTTCTGAATGGCCTGTGATAATAGCATTGATTGAGTAAGTGCTGTTCATCCCCCTCTCCTTTTTTAATTTTTCATGTGTGTATAGTGTGCGTGTTTACATATGTGTGGGGAGTGGTGTGCATGCAGATGTGCACAAGTAAAGAACAGTCAGACAAAAAAAATCACAAAACAATGCAAAATAAAACAAAAAGTTCACAAAAATACCATTGAATTCACTTTGTTTTGGCCAGATATTACTGGGCATGTGGACTGCCCTGGGGTATGGTTGGTATATACAATGAGACTCCATTTTTCCTTTGAGACTGATTTTTCCTTTGGCAGCAGGTATCAATGTTGAGACTTGTCTTGCTTGAACCTATGCAG